CAAATCTATTGGAATGTGTTTCGCATCACCTGGAGTTGCCTCATTTGTGCTGATTATAAGGTTTCAGTTTCTCTCTCCTAGGTATTAAGGAGAAGTGTGGGCTAGACTTTTCAATTTGGTATCAGAGCTTGGTTGGGCCTGTGATTGGCGTGTCGTTTGTCCGGATACTGTATGTTTTGGTCCAAAAGGGTGTTAGAATGTGTCCTGCATAACCTGGAGTTGCCCCATCTGTGCTGAAGCCTTATAATTAGCATAGATGAGGCAACTACAAGCGATGCAGGACACATTCCAACACCCTAATTCCTTCCCCTGCCTATTAGTCTTCAATTTAACCCTTAAAACCCTAAATTACTCACTGTTTAGGCTGTTAAATCACCTCTATTGTCACCCTAACAGCACTGTCCTACATCACCCCCTCTCTCCCTATTTGTTTGTCATTGCTACGGAAGTGCTCACTAGAATTCTTGGTGAGAAGGCTAATGGCCCTCCTTTCAAATTTCACTGGAGGTGTGAGAAGAATAAAATTGTGAACCTTTGTTTTGCTGATGATCTTATGATCTTTTGTAAAGGGCATAGGCACACTATGAGTATGATTAAAGAGACTTTGGTTAAATTTCAAGCCTTGTCTGGACTCACTCCTAGCCTAGGGAAGTCATATGTTTCTTTCTGGGGTTGATGACTTGTTGAGCATTATGGATTATAATGAAGGTCATCTCCGTGTGAGATACTTAAGTGTTCCCCTTATCTCTACTAAACTGAAGCAAATTGACTGTAAGCAACTCTCTGATAGGATTACCAAGAGAATCAAAATGTGGATCAACAAGTCGCTTTCACATAGTGGTAGAGCACAATTGATCAAATCCATCATGTTTTCTATGCAAGTGTATTGGTCCTCCCTTTTTATTCTCCCTAAGAATGTCATTAAAGCAGTCAAGACTCTCCTTAGATCTGTTTGTTGGTCAGGCCCTGATTTAAAGAAATTTGGGGCAAAAGTTGCTTGGGTTCACCTCTGTGTCCCAAGAAATGAGGGGAGTTTAGGGTTGAAGTCTATGGGTATCTGGAGCAGAGTTGTACTGTCCAAACATGTTTGGTTTTTAGTTTTTGGAGGGGAACAATCAATGTGGTGCCAATGGGTCAAAACCTACCTTCTTAAAGGGAGAATCTTTTGGTGTGTTAAAATGCCTAGTGATCCACCTTGGGCATGGAGGAAACTGTTAGGGCTTATGAGAGACTTGGCCCTTGTCATTAAACACAAAGTTGGCAATGGGAAGGACACCTTCCTCTGGCATGACAATTGGCACCCCTTGGGCCCTCCGCACCTGAAATACGGTGACAAAATCATCTATGATTCAGGGCTTCAGTCACAGGTTAAAACTGATGTCATCATCAAAGATGGAGTTTGGAAGTAGCTTGTTTCTCAATCTTGGGAACTTCTGGAAGTCATCAGTAACACATCTGCTGATATGGTCCCCTCTGATAGAAGTGACAAGATTTGTTGGGCCCCTGCTTCTGATGCCATTTTCTCTATCAAATCTGCTAGGGATCTATGGAGGAATCATATGCTCACTGTCCCTTGGAATAACTTGATTTGGTTCTCTAACCATATCGCTAGGGTTAGTTACATTGTTTGGATGGCCATCTATGGGAGACTTAACACCATGGAAAGATTGGTGTTGTTTGGGATTAAAGATAATGCCCATTGTGTGTTGTGTAGTGGTCATACTGAGGACCATAACCACCTGTTTTTTGAATGCCCTTTCTCTAGTAGAATTTGGACAGCTATGCAAGCTAAGTGTAATGTTAATTGGCCTCCTCTGGCCTGGATCCCTCTTTTAGAGTGGCTGGCTGCCCATATCAAAGGAAATTATTTGGCTGCTAATGTTAAGAAGCCTGTATTCACTTACTATTTATTGTATTTGGATTGAGAGAAACAGTAGGGCTTTCCAAAATGCTATCCTGTCTGAAGGAGCTGTGGTTTGTAAGATTGAGCACCTAGTTAGAGGTAGAATTATTTCACTTAGAAAATATGAGGAAGAAGAACTCCGAAAATATGAGGAAGAAGGAATATATTTCTGTTATATTCAAAACTTCTTATCTTACAAGACCAAATGACACTCCTTATATAGGAGATATTACAAACATCATCATAACCCATTATATGCCACTTACATATTATATATTACCACAATCTACCACTATCATATTATATACATGCCACTATCTACCACCAACACCACTATCATATTATATACATGCCACCATCTACCACCAACACCACTATCATATTATATACATGCCACTATCTACCACCAACACCACTATCATATTATATACATGCCACTATCTACCACCAACACCACTATCATATTATATACATGCCACTATCTACCACCAACACCACTATCATATTATATACATGCCACTATCTACCACCAACACCACTATCATATTATATACATGCCACTATCTACCACCAACACCACTATCATATTATATACATGCCACTATCTACCACCAACACCACTATCATATTATATACATGCCACTATCTACCACCAACACCACTATCATATTATATACATGCCACTATCTACCACCAACACCACTATCATATTATATACATGCCACTATCTACCACCAACACCACTATCATATTATATACATGCCACTATCTACCACCAACACCACTATCATATTATATACATGCCACTATCTACCACCAACACCACTATCATATTATATACATGCCACTATCTACCACCAACACCACTATCATATTATATACATGCCACTATCTACCACCAACACCACTATCATATTATATACATGCCACTATCTACCACCAACACCACTATCATATTATATACATGCCACTATCTACCACCAACACCACTATCATATTATATACATGCCACTATCTACCACCAACACCACTATCATATTATATACATGCCACTATCTACCACCAACACCACTATCATATTATATACATGCCACTATCTACCACCAACACCACTATCATATTATATACATGCCACTATCTACCACCAACACCACTATCATATTATATACATGCCACTATCTACCACCAACACCACTATCATATTATATACATGCCACTATCTACCACCAACACCACTATCATATTATATACATGCCACTATCTACCACCAACACCACTATCATATTATATACATGCCACTATCTACCACCAACACCACTATCATATTATATACATGCCACTATCTACCACCAACACCACTATCATATTATATACATGCCACTATCTACCACCAACACCACTATCATATTATATACATGCCACTATCTACCACCAACACCACTATCATATTATATACATGCCACTATCTACCACCAACACCACTATCATATTATATACATGCCACTATCTACCACCAACACCACTATCATATTATATACATGCCACTATCTACCACCAACACCACTATCATATTATATACATGCCACTATCTACCACCAACACCACTATCATATTATATACATGCCACTATCTACCACCAACACCACTATCATATTATATACATGCCACTATCTACCACCAACACCACTATCATATTATATACATGCCACTATCTACCACCAACACCACTATCATATTATATACATGCCACTATCTACCACCAACACCACTATCATATTATATACATGCCACTATCTACCACCAACACCACTATCATATTATATACATGCCACTATCTACCACCAACACCACTATCATATTATATACATGCCACTATCTACCACCAACACCACTATCATATTATATACATGCCACTATCTACCACCAACACCACTATCATATTATATACATGCCACTATCTACCACCAACACCACTATCATATTATATACATGCCACTATCTACCACCAACACCACTATCATATTATATACATGCCACTATCTACCACCAACACCACTATCATATTATATACATGCCACTATCTACCACCAACACCACTATCATATTATATACATGCCACTATCTACCACCAACACCACTATCATATTATATACATGCCACTATCTACCACCAACACCACTATCATATTATATACATGCCACTATCTACCACCAACACCACTATCATATTATATACATGCCACTATCTACCACCAACACCACTATCATATTATATACATGCCACTATCTACCACCAACACCACTATCATATTATATACATGCCACTATCTACCACCAACACCACTATCATATTATATACATGCCACTATCTACCACCAACACCACTATCATATTATATACATGCCACTATCTACCACCAACACCACTATCATATTATATACATGCCACTATCTACCACCAACACCACTATCATATTATATACATGCCACTATCTACCACCAACACCACTATCATATTATATACATGCCACTATCTACCACCAACACCACTATCATATTATATACATGCCACTATCTACCACCAACACCACTATCATATTATATACATGCCACTATCTACCACCAACACCACTATCATATTATATACATGCCACTATCTACCACCAACACCACTATCATATTATATACATGCCACTATCTACCACCAACACCACTATCATATTATATACATGCCACTATCTACCACCAACACCACTATCATATTATATACATGCCACTATCTACCACCAACACCACTATCATATTATATACATGCCACTATCTACCACCAACACCACTATCATATTATATACATGCCACTATCTACCACCAACACCACTATCATATTATATACATGCCACTATCTACCACCAACACCACTATCATATTATATACATGCCACTATCTACCACCAACACCACTATCATATTATATACATGCCACTATCTACCACCAACACCACTATCATATTATATACATGCCACTATCTACCACCAACACCACTATCATATTATATACATGCCACTATCTACCACCAACACCACTATCATATTATATACATGCGGTTGTGCAAAGTTTTGGTTGTTTGTTTCGTGAGCCTTTACCCCCTCTTTGGGCTGTTCAATGCCTCCATTTAGATATGAAAGTGGCCATTTAACATCTTTGTTTCCTTGGGGTTTGTTTAACTTGGTAGCTTTCTCCTCTATGGGGGATGTGCATGCTTGATTAGTCTGCTATGCTCTCTTCTAGAGCTGGTTTGTTTGTTCCTGTATAGCAGGTAGGTCCTAGGGCATTCCCCTTGTACTTCTTTGTTTTCTATTACGACTTAATTACCCAAAAAATAAATGGGTACTTTGACAAACATGTCACATCCATATTGGGTATTTACTGAGTACCGGTACTTAGTATAGTTCTTTTGCATACATACTAGGTACACGAAACACGTACCAAATATTTTTTTCTTAATTTTTGCCATACCCAAGACGTACATAGTGTATACCCAAGACGTATCATACCTCAGTCGAAACAATATTTTCTTCTAATACAGAGGTAAAACTAGTTTCATTGGACTTTCTTTATTTGTTTATAACATGATTTTAAAATTAAGCTATGGTTTATAAGTTATTCAATAAAATAACATTTAATTTTGGTTTATGTCTCTACTTTTTGGCATTAAATGTGAATGTAGGTTGGATCTTAACAAACTAAACCATTTAACTAATTTTTGCGTTACTCCAAATTAAAAATAAATATTTTTTTTGCAAATGTACCCAGTTGTAACCATACACTACTTTTTTTAGATGTTACCGTATCAATGTACTCATATCATACCATTACTTGTACCATACCTGTGCTTCATAGCCCATGATCAAACCATCACCCAATTGTTGTCAACCACCAAAGTCAACAAATCACCATTGATTACAACCCACATCCTTCTTTTCCCTAGCTCAAACCATGCAACAAGCCTTCATCCACCATCTCTTGAAAACACAAGACAGTAGGGAATAAAAAACCAATCTGTACCGGCCCCAAAAAAAAATTCCCACAACCTTCATCAGCATTGTCTGCGGAATGATGATTAATCAAAATTTTATGTCGTTTTCTTTTACTTTTTCTCGTCTCCTTATTGGGTGAGTATTTATGACCAACAAGAATCAAGTATGCGACGAGGCTTAGCTGGAAGGAACAACTATTGAAAGCACAAGCCCAAATCAACTATATGACAAAAATAACAAAGCCACGCTCTACAAAGAGGAGACAAATGGAGAATTTGGCATGGAAGATTTTGGGGATGCACATTCAGATGAGTTTTTATTTTTTGATGTGTCCAAACCATATGATACAAATTTCTTACAATTGGATTAAAAATACCCCAAATTAGTTTCATAAAGCTATCAATGCCTTGAGCCTTTAAAAATATTATTTCCATTAGGGGTGCAATTTGCCTACTCCATAATAATCTGCACCGAACATATTATTGACATATTGCAAAAATAAATTAATAGAACTATAACCCTAGTCTACAAATGTCTTTTCACTGTAACTTTATGATGGTAAAAGAATGGAATGTGCTAATTATTACAAAATGGGCAATGATAATCTGGACGGAGTCAAGAATTCATGTCTATTATAAATGCTTCGTCACAATTATCTTGTGCAAGCAACACTAATCGTGCTCTGTAATTTAAGTCTATCAAAAAAGGAACGCCCTCCCCTCAAGGAAAATCCTTAAGCTTTTTGTTAACAATTTTTTTTAAGTAAATTGGAGGCCGTGGTCTGGGGAAGGGAAGTCTTTTGTATGTGGCAAGACTTGAAGTGAGAGGATGCAGGAGTTGTGATGAACTTTGTTGGTTTCTTATTAACAATTCTAGAACCTCCAGTATCAGACACTAGGTGTGCAGAATGGATTGAAAATAAGTACGTCTGTCAACAGATTATTGGGAAACTGCCATGGAGCAATTCAATGCAAAAATGGCTAAAACCCCATACGCGCTTTGGGTGACATCCCACTTATCTTGAATTAGTTCAATCCCTAATTAGCACAAATCCAGAAATATCTTTTCATATATAATTATTGTAACTAATACAGATTATTACATATATTATCTGATATACTGATTATGCAGATACTAATTTGTCTAAAATATTCTGATAAAAATTAATTGTAGGATTATAATGTGTAAATGTATCCAAATATGATTGGGTTGAAACCTCCCTGGAGCATATTCAGATTCTAATTCTTTTAATCTGTTTCGATATTTACGCAATTGTGTTAATACATAAAATCTATCAAGAACAATATCATATTCATAATTCATAGGACATCATTAGAAATACTTACAAAACTGCAGATCTTTGATAAGCTCCAGACTGCAAGTATGAAAGGAAGAGGATAGAAAAGTGAACATGTAATATTACTACGCGGTTCCATTTTCAAAGAAAGAAGCAATAATTCATTTGTTAATTTTTAATGAAAACTCATGTTTCAAACAGTTTTTGCGATATTTTAATAATTAAAGAAAATAAAGAGATTAGACAAACAGTACCTGTTGATGATCTCGTTTCAGGAGAAGTTGAGAATCTAACTCAAAACAGGATCGCAGGAGTACCAACTGAACTTGCTTATTAGTAGTAGTAGTCGTAGTAGTATTAGTACTCCATATCATTCAAGAACATCAACAAAGGGTGAAGATTTTTATTCACAGTGACAGTGACGAAGATTGTAACTTTTCTAGGGCTTGACTGTATAGTTGAGAATCGTACAATCACCGAAAGAATCCATCAGATCGTGTAAGGAAGAGGAGCATTTGCATTTCGCTTTCCTGTCGATTTGTTAAAGCCGAATAATTGTGGATGTGAGAACACCTACAACGATGGTGGTCGGCGTGCAGTAGGGTTGTGCCTGATCGCCCCTCCACTTCACGCCCTCACTCTGGGGCGGGAGACCACCTATTCGTGTTCAGATCCTCCAAAATCCTTTGTGATCTTGGAGTGGATGTTTATAATGTTTAGTTGCAAACATTCGTCTCCCCTGCTCCCTTCTTGCTTCTCTGCAACGCTTCACTTCAATACTGTTTCGAAGCCCTGTCTCTTAGGTCTAACACGTGTTGGGCTGGGAACATTTCATTCTTCATGGGACCTTCTTCTCTCTTTGGTCTTCTTCTATCTTTCTCTCTCCTCTATTCAAACCCCACACCCAACTCACCCCCTCCTCCACATTCCCACCACCCACCATGAACGAGACATTCACAAAAACACAACCACGTCGCAGACAAGTAAGGAAATTAAATGAAACTTACGGCAGCCATGTTTTCTATTCTCCTTACTTTGTTTTCACTCAGAATACCAACCCGATCGGATTTTCCCTAGAGGCTCCTCCATTGACGGTGATCGACCGATACCTAACAAAGACGACGATCCTCTTCTAGTAGCTCCAGTGTGACATAGCGTTCGATTATAAAAGGAAATCTAACTTAGTTCACATTTCCTTCTATTTTCCTCACATTCATACAAATTTCATTCACATTTTAAAAAAAAAAAAAAACTTTCTAAACAAATAGAAAATTGAGGAAAACCAGAAAAATTGTCAAAAAGAAAAGAAAATCAGAAAAATTAAATTGAGGATTGTACTGAGCAAACCCAAATTTTCACTTTTACAAACAAATCTTTGATAATGAAGAAGTGTATTGAAGGCAAACTAAGAAGATGACTTTGGAGAGTGTATATTGTAGGATGGTGGGGCTTCAAGTCGACAGCCACTATTGTTGTTAGATATACTCTGCCAGCAGGCAGATTGACGTCGATGGGATCTAGGAAATAGGGAAGTGAAGAGAGCCGTTTAGGAAAAAGGAGTAAGATGTGATTGTGGGACGTCGTCGTTTGTTAATCTCAGCCGGCGTCGCTGTTACTCCGTTCTTCTATTTTTTTCCCTTTGGTCATCAATGGAGATTTTGGGGCAAAAGCTTGAGTTTATGCCTCTGTTATGTGAGAAAACACGTCCCTTCGTCCAACACTCACTTAGTTCTCTCTCCGTGATGTGGTAGCTTCTAACTCGTTGGATCTGTTTTTGCCAGTGTTACCATCTTGTTCACGTGTTACCATCATTCGAGCCATTCGCGGCAGACTTCATTCGAGGTCTGTAGCGAGACTGATTTATTTTATAGTACAAAACGCGGGAAAGCAATCAAATTACAGTCGCGCCTTCGCTATCTATTCAGGACGATTTCATCGAATGCTTTCTTTTCTATAACTCAAAGCCATGTTTAATTGGCCCTTCAAAAACAGAGAATTAGATTTGTGAGGTTTATTTAAAGAATTTTTAGTTAGAGAAATAAGTGAGGGGATTAATTATTTCTTGAACGAATAATCCCTCCATGTGATAGAATAACAAAGTTATGGGAGGATTGAGATTAAAAATTTAATGAAGGGATTAATGAAATTTTAAATATTTTTAAGCAAAAATTATATTTTTTAGAATAAAAAAATTAATTATAATATTAAAAAAATACTAAAACTTAAAAAAATTAATTTTATGTATTAATACTATCTATAATATTACAAATTCAGTAGTGTATATACAAATACTCTTTATCGTACATTTCAACCTAATACCACCATACTTATAATCTCCCCACTCAATCGCACTACTCTTACTGGGAGTTTGGGAAGTAGTTATTTTTTAGGCTTTTTGGCTATTTAACTATTTTAGTAGATTATTTTAATTTTGGCAGTGGCTTTCCTCCAGTCTGGACTAGACTGGAGGGTATTGTTGGGTTCGTGGAGGCTTATCAAGAGTTTCGTTTTGATAATCCAAACCGATCAATGTATAGAACTCGTCGAACACTATATGTTTGTAAAAAATCACGTTGATCGGATAACGATAGCTATGCGATCAAATCAGTTTTCGGTCAATTGTTTATTTTTTTACCGTCTATTTTTTTATACAAAACTGATTGATCATGTAGCTATATATATCCGATCAACATGATTTTTTACAAATATATAATAATCGACAAGTTCTACAAATGAAACGGTTCGGATTATCGAAATGAGATTCGTGGTGGGCCCCCACAGGCCCAACAATATCATCTAATTCGATCACGGACTGGAGGAAAGCCTAGAAGCCCAGCCCTTTAGTTTTTGTATTTGGAAAGATAAGATGAATTTTTATTTAAGTTGTTGTATTGAAAAATGTGTTTGAAATGATAGTATTATGTAAAATGACCACAGTACCCATACCAAAATCAATAAAATACAAAAGGCAGCCTATGATGTAGCAGTGAGGGCACTGCCACTGCCAACTAACCTTTGTTCAGTAGTGATACAAATATATTACAAGATTAAAAGTTTGTAATAAATGAATTGAGTTCATGTTAGTTTGGAAAAAATAAATTGACATATTTCTAAGTAATTTGTATATTAATTAGTATATCAACAAATTTCATGACATTATTATTGATCACATCTATTATAGAAATTATAAATACCCAAAACTTGTTACTCTCTCAGTCTTAAAATATTAGTCTCTTATTTTATTTTTTATTATCCTAGAATATTAGTCCATTTTTAAAAGAAAAAAAAAAAACTTAAGAAGCTGCCATGTTTGCTGAGAAGATTTTTACACAAAAAAAAAAATTAAATAAAAAAATTGTATATGCACAAAAGATTTTGAAAGAAGAAAAAAACCAAAAACAAAAACAAAACTATAGCTGTAGCCGAATATGTTTGTTGAACAACAACACAATTCGTTGGTTGTTTTGCCCAATTTTTTAGTCCCATGATGAGTGAAACATCAATTTTGGAAAAACAAAATAAAAATTAAAAAAAAAATAGGAGAAAAAAAGTTTATAGTTGCAGATCGATGAAAGTACAACAAAATACCATCAATACGGCCCAAATCACATTGCGATCTGAAATAGTGGTATGAAAACCAGCAAGAGCAAGTTGGAAAAGAAAGAACAAGCATAGAAATCGGGTCAGTATACCCTACCCGTCTGAGGTCTTCGACGATCGACAAGCAAGACAGTCGACTGCGTGGTCTTTATGCGATTGATCCGCCGGAGTGAGATCCGTCGGAGAGAGGTACAATGGTGTTCTTGAAACCGTCTGTTCAGTGGGTAGGATAGATGATAGAGATGAGAACCTCTTCATCAGTTGTCACTCTAATTTTTTATATGAACTAAACAAAGGGTAAAATAGTTTTTTCACCCTCTAGTGACATCCAACTGGACAGAAGCCTTGCTGCCTCAGCTACAGTGAGGCTGCTTAGCTTTTTTCGTGAAACAGGCTAAAATAGCCTCACCCACGGGTTGCCAAACACCACCTTAATCTCCTCTATCCTACGGAGCCAAACAAACGTGGCCAAAGGGTATATGACTACCATATAGGGTATAGAATTCCCCTTATCAAAAACTATTTTTATCTAGTGGGTTCAGTATTTACCAAATTCCACTTGTTCAATGTTCTTAGCTTTTCTTTGCAAAAAGGGAAGCCAGGCAAACAACCTACACACTTCCACACAAAGAGGTTTTCTTTGGTAGCCCATGCCACCACACATTCATTAAGTAATTTTACCTTGGAGGAATTCCCAGTAAATTTTCCTCAATTTTTTATCAGTATCTTCTAGTTTCACCAAAAAGCTTGATGCAGGCAAGGTAAGTGAACTAAAAAGTTTGAACAATATTCATTCAATCAGATCATGGGGTAGATATCTAGCATCCTTCATCTGATCTGCTAGTATGTCAAGTAAATCACATATTTCTTCCATCTCCCAATGAAACTTGTCTTTGGCGACAAATTGATGTCTTGAATTCCTCACCTCAACCCAACTATATGCTCCTTCTTTCATCAAACCCTCTCTATCCATTTGTGCTATCCATTTGTGCCCTCACTTGTCGAGCATCTTCCCATTTGCTAGCAGCAGCATAGACGTTGGATAACATGACATGTCTTGCAGCATTTTGAGGTTCCAACTCAAACAAAGCAGCACTTGCCCTATACGCAAGTTCCAAATTGCCATGAATCCGACAAGTGCCCAAAAGTGCACCCCACATCCCAACACGATTTAATTCATTGTAATTAGGAGCTCTATCAATCAACTCAATTGCTTCCTTGAGCCTGTTTTTCCTCCCGAGTAAATCAATCAAGATTGTATAGTGATCTGATCTTGGTATTACATCGTAATCCTTTACCATTGAGTCCAAAATTTGGAGTCCTTCGTGTAACAGACCTGCGTGACTACAAGCAGAAAACGTGGCATGATTGGGTTTTATGCTTGCTTCGGTCATCCTTTTAAATGCAGCAAGCGATTCATCCCCATTTCCATCTTGAGCATATCCATTTATTAGCGAGTTCCAAGAAACAATATCCCTTTTAGGCATCCCCTCGAATAATGTCCTAGCAGATTTCATGTCTCCGCACTTGCAATACATGTCAATCAAAGCATTGAACAAAAACACATTAAACTCCTCACCATTGATACTCCTAATAATGTGTCCATGAAGTTGTTTCCCTCTATCAAGAAGTGCAAGATCGGCACAAGCACTTAGAACACTAACATAAGTGAAAGCATTAGGTAGGAAGATGCCCTCTTCTTGCATATGCACAAAAAGATCCAGAGCTTCATCACCGCGCCCATTTTGTGCAAACCCTGAAATTAAAGCACTCCAAGAAACTGTGTTTTTGGTAGGCATTTGATTAAAAACCTGATATGCATCTTCCAATCTAGATGCCCGGGCATAAGCAATAACCATGGAAGTCCACGACAGAACATCCCTTTCTCCCATCTGATTAAAAATTAAAAATGCGTTAGGAGAATCGTGACATTTCCCGTAAGCATCAATCAAAGCATTATAAATTGCAGTATTAAACTTCATTCCAATTGCCACAGCCGCTCCATGAACTCGGCGCAACAATTCTAGTGCACCCAAGCAAGCACAACTACCCACTACGCTAACGAACGTAAATTCATCCATAAACACAAAGTTGTACTATTTTTGCATTCTCCTGAAGACACTCATTGATTCCCTGTAAAACCCATGATTGCGAAGACTAGAAATCAGGCAATTATAGCTAACAAGGTTTGGTTCAGAAATTTTATCAAACAGGTTGTGAGCAATGACAAAACGACCCCTTTGAGAGTAGACTGAGATCATGGTGTTCCATGAGTGAGTGTTCTTGATTGGAAGATCATCAAAGGCTTTCTGGGCACAAGCTATGGAGTTGCATTTGGAGTACATGTGTATGAGGTGGTTGGTGAGGAAATTGTTGAGGGAGAGGGCGGTTTTGATCAGGTGTGAGTGCAGGAGTCTCCCTAGCTTGAGGTTTTGGGTTTTGATGGAGTAGGAAATGAGAGACGCGTAGTGATGGGTGGGATCAACGCTTGAGATGGTTTCACTGCAAGGCATGATCGACGGTTGAGGTATGTGTTTCGTTTTTATGGACTATGGACTGTGGGACAATGGCATGAGGTGTTTGGTTAGGATTGTGGAGTAGAAAATATCTTTTTTCTGATGTTTGTTTTATTACCAGTTATCATTGATTTTGTTCTTATCCAATTCGTGGCTGTGTTTTAAGATCAGTGTTATGGTCACTAGTAGTATATTCCAGAATTATATGAGATTGTTGGAAGAATTAAATTAAGTAAGATTATTAGAATTTTCACCTTCTTTTTAATAGTATATATAATCTGAATTTATATTTTTATCTTATCTTATTTTTAATAAAAAGTATAATTTTAAAACTTCTTTAACCAAAATAAAAAAAAAAATATATATATATCTTTCATCCTTTCTAGGTGAGACGTAGTTAGGATTGCATCTTTCATCCTTTCTACGTGAGACATAGTTTGGTTTGCATCTTTCACCCTTTCTATGTGAGACGTAGTTAGAATTGCATCTTTCATCCTTTCTACGTGAGACGTAGTTTGGATTGTATCTTTTCACCCTCTCTACGTAAGACGTAGTTTGGCCTGTATTTTCTCACATCCTTTCTACGTAAGACGTAGTTTTGCTTGTATCTTTCATCCTCCTTTAACGTGAAACGTGTTTGGAATTGTTGTTTGCTTACTTCCCCCCGTGTGAGACACGGTTTGATTTATTTTGATTTAAGCTTGAGGCTTGTCTCATTCATGTGTCGCCATCTTGTCGTATTTATAGTCTCATTGCATTGTCTTGCATGATTATGAATTTTCAAAAATAACAATGTGTGTAAGTTCAGCTTCCAAATGTAGTCTTGAACATATTATTTGCATTTTGCCCTTGAACTATGCTGGTTTGATTTCTTGCAAAGGAATACGTAGGTAACGTAGGCAACCCTCGTATTCAACCAATTGCATTGACATTTTGTTTGTTTGCCCAAGTCTTACAGCCTTGTCAAATGGGTCGTCTTCGGTCTCTGACATTCACTCACATCATTTTGGTGACTTCGAGCTCTGTCAAAGAGGGGCAACTGTAGACATCCCATTTTGACCGCCCTTAAGACTTGAACACCTCACTCTGAACACTCGATGATGAATTATTACGTTGTACAATCGTTCGATTTTCTTCTGCAAAAGTCCTCGATTTTGAGCTTTAAAACCTAAACCTTATACCCCCTTTGAACCAAAATCTTATTTTTCTAGCCTAACCAGTGAGAGAACTACTGGCCAACAAATGGACGGTACGCCATTTTCATTGGGCCGGCCGTACCTCCTCATGGTCGGCCGGCCATGTTCAACGACAACAGATATTTTGAGATAGCTAGTTGTCCCCATCTGCATGCCTTGCACCAGCTGTCTCTTTTTTGATATTTTCAACGTGAGAACCTATTTTTCTATAAATATAAGGCCTCCCCTAAGGGTTTGGGGTTAGAAAAATTCTCTAAGAGCCAAAAGTTTGACCAACCATCTTCTCCACCCTCTTGCAATATACATACACTATACATACACTTTCTAAGCTAACACTTGAGGATTTTCTGAGGTTCTTGAAGATAATTTCAGCCTCTTGAGAGTACTCAACTTGTGGTTTGTGAATTAGGAAGCATCCTCTCTTTAAAAGGGGTAATCTTTGAGCTCTTGTACCATATTTTCTCTATCTCTTCTTTTCTTTTTCATAGTATTTTTAGAGTGTTTTGAGGCCTGAAATATGTGATTTTAGATCACCAAAAAAGAGGAGGGGTTAGCCACCCTTAGGCTTGTTGGTTGGTTGATTGAAACCCTTTGGATTTATCCCATTTTTGCTCACTTTTTCCACCTTAAAAACTTGATTTTCAGCATTGTTTTTGTGTTGTTTTAGAGCTTTTTAGTGTGTTAAATTATGCTTTGAATATTGTAGAGGTGTTGTTATAAGTCCTGATGGATTGGTGTATAGGCTTTAGCTTCAAATCTATTTGAGTTGATAGTCTTTTCTTTTTTTTTTTTTTTTTTTTTTTTCTTTAAAGCTTTCATATATGTTCACACCATTGTAATCATCCACTTTTCAATAGCACTCTACAATCTCCTGCATTTCTTTGTTTCTTTGCTTTGTTTATTTGATTAAGAGTTGTATCAAAGAAAGGATTGTTGCTTAAGGCATAAGAAAGAGACCTCTCATGCTAAATGGTTTAATCTCTTTGGAGGTTCATTACCAGGGCATTACATCTCTCTTATGCTAAGCACAATCTCTTGTTTGATACCTCTCTTTATCGCCAGTGGATTTACTTCTAAATGACTAATTTTCCAATTACACCCTTGGAAATCACAAAGGAAAGGTTCATTATAACTTATTATCGAGTTTGGATTTGGAGTCATTATCGCTCATTTTGGGTTTGACTAGTCATTATCGCTCTTCTCAAGTTTGACTAGCCATTATTGTTCATTTTGGGTTTGACTCCGAATTTATTATCGCTTGTAAATGAGTTTGATTCTTCCTTTGTAATTCCCCCATAGAAAAGGGCTTGAAGAGCTCATTTCTTAGGTTAAGTTATGCTTGCTATTCTTTATTGCTTTCGGACTTAGTGGACGTAATCATCACATTTTGGACAAAAATGAAGAAAAGATAAGAAAAAGGAAAGGTAAAGTCAAAAAGGGTTAATAAAATTGGAGTAAAAGAGGTAAAACGATAATAAAATTTGGTTAGGTTCGATGGGACGTTATACCGAACCTATTGCGTCTTGAATCATCATATACTATTATTGTGATGTTTGATGATTCATGAGGCAAGTCTACCGCTTCCTTTGAGGTAAGTCCATGATAGGGAGGAGGTATTGTCTATCTTTTATTTCATTTATTGAGCTCTTGTCCCATCTTTTCTAAAGTCATCATGCAACAAATTTGCAATGACTGATGATTTGAGAATCCAATTTGCTCATCCCTTGATCATTTTCATGATAGGGAAGGATAGAGAGAATAAACATCTCCTAGAAACACTCTGTTTTTGCTCCATTTTAGCTCTGTTGTAGCAGGGTATTTCCCATAAGTAATGGTCGGCCAGCCATCATTCTGTACGACCGACCACTATCTCAAGCCGGCTGGCCACCTATTTTGTACAGGCAGTGGCATTTTTATAACAGAACAGAGCAGAATTTGAGGCCAAAATAGAATAATTTTCTGACTACAAGCAGAGATGATCCTAGCAACAAACAAAAAGGTTTTCGAAAGATGTTCTCAGTTGTGCGCATACGGTTCCTCGATTCTCGTCCGAGTCCATTAGATTAAATATTCATACTTTGTAATAATTTGTAATTAATTACTTAGTTGCTGAGCTTTCATTTGAACTTGTAATAATCTAGTTTAGTCAATTATGTTGTAATAATTAGTTTAATTAGGACATTCATTCAGACCCTCTTGTGCTTATTTCTCCCTTTTATTTATTTGCTTATCGTGGTAACATCATATTTTTTGTTTCATATCATTACCATGCGTTGTATCCATTTTTGTATGCATTTTGGTTCGGTTCATCATTCTAATATCATTGTCATTTCTTATTTATTTGAATACGTGCATTGTGCATGTTTTAAATTGATCCATATGACATGTTAAATAAACCGAACCTAGTAGTCTCATTTTGTATGTGTTGCATTAGTCATTTACATATTTAGGAACATGTATTTTTCTAATATTTTATATTCTTTGGCTTGCCTCGGAGTACTAGGTGAGCATTTGTTGCATTAGCGTATTGCATATGAGTTTATGTTACCATGTAAAAGCATACCACTCTGAGGCTACGTGCTTATTTAAAATATCTCTTTGAATGCCTGTAGATGAAGGCTATTTCGCCTAAATTGGAATGACTTTGATTAGTGTACATGTGAACTCACTTTTCAAGTAGCACATATTCAAACCTCTTTTCAAACAAACATGAAATCAAAGCATTCCAAAATCGGTGACGTAGTCTATACTTGTGTGCCTCACATATTAAGCTAGCATAATAATCAGAGCATGAGCATATACTGTACATAAAAATCACATCATGGTTAGTAGAGGCCGGTCTTTGATCGAGTGAATGGGGTGCTCAATTTATGACCTTCCCCTCTCATACCTAAGTTCCCAAGCCAAGACACTTTGGTTATGATGGACAAGTGGCCTTTGGTATGAGTCATGGGTTTCCTAAATTTTCTAAAGATATTCAGGTGGCGACTCTGAAATCTGGCAATGCAGTCCATTTTTGGCATCTCTAATGATAAATGAATTTTCTAAGATTTGCCGAACTTGGAATCTCATTTGTGTTTTTCTGTTTCACATTGCACTTGTGAAACCAGATTCAGAACCACGAGAGTTTGAACTGTAGGGCTATTGTATCCGAGGAGACTAAACCCCTCCGAGGAGCACGAAAAACCAGCTACAAGCGGAGTTAGAGATAGACAAGGATACCTCGTATGAGGAAAGACAAGTTAGAGTTTTGGACACTCGAGACCAAGCCTTGCGAGGCAAGATGATTCCATTGGTAAAAGTATTGTGGCAACACAACAGGGTCGAGGAGGCCACTTGGTTATGCGAAGCAGAAGTCTGTGAGAAGTA